CAAGATTTCCAGCTCCCTCGCCTGCTCCTGAAACCTTTGGCGCGGCTTAGAGTTTAGGGCTTAGGGTTGAGGGTTGAGGGTTTAAGGGTTTAGGGGTTTTGGGTTTAGGGGTTTTGGGTTTAGGGGTTTAGGTTTCAGGGGTTTAGGGCTTAGGGTTTAGGGTGTACGTGTGGGCGTTCGAAAAGCCACCCTGAGAAAGTACCGTGGTAAAGGGGGCCTTGGCTAATTTGAAAACCAGCTATGGGCCACAAGGCTTAAGACGACTTGTTAAGGGAATATGATTTCCTGAACCCAAAACTCTCAACCCAAGGGAAGAAGGCTGGACCCACTTAGAGGTTCAGGAGGCTTCGGCACCAGGCCAGAACTCTCAGGTCGGGGTTAGGGTTCAGGGCATCATTGAGAAACCCGAAACCCTAAACCCTAAACCCCTAAACCCTAAACCCCTAAACCCGAAACCCTAAACCCTAGCCGGAGATCGGGGCACTTAAACAATCCCAGCTTTACAGCCGACGGGCTAGGTCCCAATGGTCCTTCAAGCAACGAATGGCGGTAGGCGCCCTAATAATTTGCGATTCTGAAAAAGTTCTGGGGAATCTTGTTCTACAACAAAACTAACTAAACTTCCAGGAGTAATCTAACTACTCCTTCCGGCCTCTATAATACTTGCAATCACAAAACCAACCAGTGAAACACACCAGAACAAAAACACTGCACTCTAAGCCATAAGCCCTAAACCCCAAACCCCAAAGCCTCAAACCTAATCCCTGAAGCTCAAACCCTAAACCCTACTCAGCTACCCGGCCAAGAATCGCCCGACCATGGGCCGACGCCAGCAGGAAGAAGTCGCTTGGCTGGGTGAAGGTGGTCTTCTCCAGCTCGTAGCGAAAGGTGGTGGGGCTCTTCGGCGCTTTCTGCAGCCTCGGCTGGGTTTAGGGTTTAGGGTTTAGGGTGCGGGGTTCTTGTTAAGGGGGGCCAGTTAAGTTACCAGTCTAAACTACATCCTTAACTTATCTTCCTTAGTACGGCAACTGAAATTAATTTAAACCTGAACAGAAAGAAAGGCAGCTTGGGTATTTTAGAGTCGGGCCGCCAGTACCCTAAATCCTAAATCCTAAACCCCAGCTGCATAAGATGTAGGTTTGGGTTGAGGGTTGGGAGGGCGGTCGCGGGTTTTGGGATTCGGCTTTCGGGTTTGGGGTCTAAGGGTTTAGGGTTTAGGGCTGTTTTTTGGGGGGGGTTTAGGAGTTTAGGGGTTTAGGGGTTTAGGGGTTTAGGGGTTTAGGGTCTAAGGGTTCAAGTCTTCGAGCTTAGGGTTTAGCAGTTGCTAGACCCCTGCGAATCCGGATCCTAACAACTCCAAGTACCACCCCCTTACCAAATCCTAACGTCTTCGATGCCAAGAAGCCCTACAACACCCTAATGGGGCACCCTGGTGAGATAAACCCTCAACCTTGGATACTGCCCCCATATATCCAGATTATGAATATTACTCAACTGTGATTGAGTGGGGGCTGTATCCACCCTAAACCCCAAACCCGAAACCCGAAACCCTAAACCCTAAACCCATCATCCTGCAAGCTTCGAAGCGCCCAACATAAGCCAAGAAGCAACTGCTGGCTTTTGAAGGACGCCGTGCCTGGGTTGCTGTAAAGAGGCGAAGACATATAGGACTTACTATACGGAGCCCTTTTAGAGCACTAGAAAACCCGATTAAGCCAAGTCTTCCCTAAGCCCTGAACCCTATAAACCATGTAAACCCCAAACACTAGAAACCCGAAACCTTATAAGCCCGAAACCCTAAACCCGATAAACCCTAAACCCTGAGCCCTAAACCCTACAAGCCCTAAACCCTGAACCTCATAAACCCTCAACCCCAAACCCGAGAAGCCCTAAACCCTACATGGGTAGTTCTCTAAGTTGGGGTCCCTTTTTGGATTCCAAAGGACCCTAACTTATAGAACTACCCACCTCTTCCATAAACCCTAAACCCTAACCCTAAACCTAACGATCTTCACCAAAGCACCCAGCACTTGCCCAAACTTTCGGGAGCTTCGCAAGCTGGACCATTGAAGCTCCGCAAGGCACCAACCCCGCTGCAAGTACCTCGGATGTCCCTAAACCCTAAACCCTAAGCCCTAAGCCCTAAACCCTAGGCCCTAAACCCTAAGCCCTAATCCCAAGCCCTAAACCCAAAGCCCTAAACCCTAAGCCCTAAGCCCTAAAACCTAAACCCCTAAACCGTTTTGGGCTTCAGGGTCGGGGTTTATTTCGGGCTTCTATAGGGGGCTCCTTTTTTTGGTGGGATCTAGAAAGTGTTCAGGATCGATTTCAGGTTCAGGGCTCAGAGTTTCGGTTTAGGGTTTAGGGTTTAGGGTTTAGGGTTTAGGGTTTAGGGTTTAGTTTTGAGAGTTTAGGCTGTTGGTTTCAGGGTTTCAAACTCTCCCAGAGGATGGTTTAGGGTTTAGGGTTTAGGGTGTAGGGTTTAGGGTTTTTTGTTTTTAAAGTGTGGTGGGCCTTGTTAGGGTTTAGGGGTTTAGGGGATCCCTCCACAAAAATCTCCGGGAGGAGCCCCTGAAGGAGTCCAGCCCAAAAAGGAGACCGACTCGAGTGCCCTTAAAGGGAACCTCACTCCTAAAAGCCCTGTAGCACCTTTAAGGGAGCGTAGCCCCTAAACCCTAAACCCTAAACCCACCTTTAAGGGAGCCTAGTGGAGAGAGACCCTGAAAGGGTCCTTGGGCGTGAGGGAAAGGATCCCTCTGTTGATTTTCCAGGGTTTTGGACATGGGGTCTAGGGCTTGGCTTTTAAAAGCCCTAAAAACCCTAAAAACCCTAAAAACCCTAAAAGCCCTAAAACAAACCTACAAACCCTAAAAGCCCTAAAAAACCCTAAAAGCCCTAAAAAACACCTAAAAGCCCTAAAAGCCCTAAAAGCCCTAAAAACCCTTAAAAAAAAACCTACAAACCCTAAAAGCACCCAAAAAAAACCTAAAAGCCCTAAAAACCCTAAAACCCTAAAACCCTAAAAGAAACACCTACAAACCCTAAAAGCCCTAAAAAAACCCTAAAAACCCTAGAAACAAAAAAAAACTATATTCGGAGAACCCCGAGGCCGAGACGCTCGGTTGAATTTCCTTTCAGTGCACCTGCCTGGCAGCGCTGGAGGCCCACCACATCTGAACCGGGCAGCTCACAATGCAGCCTAAGGGTTTTGGGATTTCAGGGTTTTAGGGTTTAGGGTTTAGGGTTTTAGGGTTTAGGGTTTGGGGTTTAGGGGTTAGGGGTTAGGGTTTTTTTTTTAAGCGCCTCTTTTCCAACTCGCAGAGTCAGAGATCCCTTGCAGGAAGGCGAACACAGCCACATTAGGCTATGTAGGAAAACACCCCTCAGACTTCAACCATCAGAGCGACCAAATCGAGAGCTTGCCGTCAAGACCACATTCACTTCGCTTCGGCAGACGCGGCATCCATGAACCCCTTGCTTTCTGCATCTTGCTCTGACCCTCGAACCCCCATCTCCTCACTCACCAGGGCATCCTCACACTCAGCACCATGCTGGATCAGTTGGTCTGCCTCCTGTACACCCTCTCCCCCTGGCTGACTGCTTCCCTCCACAAGTCGCTGTGCCTGAAACATGGCAACCATCTCAGCCCCAACCATCTGCTCCAAGGCCTCCTCCGATACCCGCCCCTGCATCCACTCCCGATACATGTGCATATACTCCGCCTCGGACAGCACCGGACCCCTCGCAGTGTCCTCAACCTGGGTGGGGGCCACCCCTGATTCGTCACCGCCTCGTTCATGAAGCTGTATGCGAAGGTCAATAGCCCGTCCCCTTGCTAGTGGCACACTGCACGTGATTTGCTCGGCTGATTCTCCATGCACCAACGACAACGATGCCTGAAGTCGCCGCGGCTTGGAGGGGCCACAATTGAGGACCTCCCACTGCTCCCAATCTCTGTAGCGAGCGCCCTGGTGTCTGAGGAAAAGCATTTCATCCTGACGAGCCTGGTCCTCCTCCTCACGTGCACGAGCCTCCAGTTGCTGTTCTAGCATGGTAGCCTCTGCTTGCTTCTGCCTGCGAACCTCTCGTTCGTCCTCCGCCATCTGCTCCACATCCTCGTGCATGCGTTTTCCTGGAGCCGTCGCAGATGTCTGCATCCACATCTCCTCGTCCCCCTCCTCAACTTCCACCTCCACCATTTCCCCCTGTCGGCTGTCTCGTGCCTGTTGTACCCTCACCATCATCAACTGGCTGGCCTCAACGATGAACAAGGCCATGGTTCGCATAAGTGCAGCCATAACCACTGTCAGGTCTTCTGGCCTCACCTCGGATATCGCTTGGACCCTGTTCTCATGCTCCTCCGGGTTGAGAGCCCTGTGATCGTCTGTCGCTAAGCCGTCTCGTAGCCCCAACGTGTGGAGCCAAAAGCAAGTGGCATCCCCGATGGTCATGGGCGGGCTTCTGCCACCAGCCCTTGGAAGCAGCCGTCTCACTTCCGTGGTCGTTCTCGCCACTGGAGTGCGCGAGCGGGCTCGCGGGCCAGCCATCCCACGACGAGGATAACGGCGGCGAGACACTCGACGGCGGCTGGTGTCGGATGGGCCGCCTCTGCCCCGCTCGGGCCGTCTGTCCTCCCCTCCTTCATCTTCGTCCCGTCGGCGATCTCGTCCACGGCCCTTGGCGGGGTTGGCTTTGTGCTTCGGCGTCGGCTTAGCTCGTCCTCCCTCCATGAACGAGGTCACGTCATCCAGCTGGGTATGCCCTGGCCTCGGGGGAGGGCTCCGCGATCTCTCTGCGCGCCCTGCTCTCGGCACACACTCCTGGGCCCATTGCCACCATCGGTCGCATTCTCCTGGGGACATAGTCGGTTGAGACCTGGCTTCCTGCACCTGGTGGCATTCTCCTATAGCTCCTTCGAGTTCATCAATATACTCCTGCCACAACTCAGCTTCCAGCCACTCAATCACTGCTTCACTGTCCGCTGTGAGGTCGGTGGCACAATCCCTTTCCACATGGATGGTGAGCCCCATATGGTCATAGTAGTCCTCCATTTGTAAGGTGTAATCCTCCTCATGTCGTCGCCACACTTGCTCCATCAAGGCCGAAGCAACCACCACCTCCGGCGTGCCGTGGTCCTGCAGGTATCGCACAACCCGTCTTGCAACAGAGAAGAAATCCTCCGTTCGCTGCTGCACCCCTGCACCACTTCCCCCTGGCACCACAAGAAACCACCACATAGCAAGCAACCCTGTCGCATCGTCTTCCTCCTGGTCCGGAGCCGTGTCTGCCACCGGTGGCCTAGCATGTTGGGTGCTCACCGGCCCACAGTTCGTGGTCTCATCTCCTGGCGGCCCCCACTGAAGAAGGAGCTGCTCAGCCACATAGGGGCCATGCTCGCTGGTGACAGCCTCCACTGTAATTTGCCCTCCTTGCCACCCCATTTGTAGCTGCTCAAAGTCCGCTTCCGGCCCAGCCGGGGCTGGTAGCTCGACAGGTAGGTTCCCCACTGTACCGGGGTCACCTGAGCTCAGCGGTCGCCATGGAGCCGGTATTGCGCTGGCAGGGCTCGCTCGGTCCTCGGTCTCCGGTATGCTGACATCCAGGTTGAGTCGGGCTCGACCGCCCTCGATTGGCACCTCCAGAGCCACCATCTGAGGATGATCGCCAGAGCCAGAGCTGAGTTCAACCCGAACACAGGCTCGCTTGGGAGCTCTCTCCCCTTGTGCCTCAAGGCTGTCCTCGATGCGGATCGGGGAGGTCGGAGGTGTGTCCATGGGGACTGGATGCATGAAGAGCCGGATGATCATTGGCGTGTCATGGTCCGGCCACTTCCCTTCTGCTGCTCTGCTTCCAGGATGCTCCGGTATGTACCTCGTAATCCCATCCCACGCTTGTCTCAACCAGGGTATTTTCTCATCCCCAGGCGGCACCTTGCACCCATAACACTCATCGTCTCTCATAGCCACAAGGAGAGCCGTGAGGGAGGCCGTTCGCCCAGTCATGTGCCCCAGCAGGTATCCGTCTGCCGACTTCACAGCCCTGTGGGCTAGCAGCCGGATCAAATGTCCAGCCACCTGGCTTCGTTCGGCTTTTCCATAGCCCTCGAGCTTGAGACGAATCTCCTCCAGCAGCTCATGCCACAACCCTTGCAAGTGCTCCGACTGCATAAAGCTCGACATCTCCTCATCGGCCTCGTCCTCATCGGCCCCATGCTGTTGTTCCATCATCGAGCCCTCTGTTTTCTCGGTTCGGTCACTTTCTGATGTTTGCTTTCCCTGCCGGTTGCCTCCATGGAGAGGCGTCGTCACATACTCCAGCAAGGGCGTCTGTTCGTCAACCTTCTGTGAGGGAAGCTCCCCCGGGCGCGGATCGCGCTTTGCTTCATGAAAAGTGGTGCCTGCCCCTTCGGGGTGCTCCACAAGGTGATAGCAGGCTGTGGCCCACCACAACAAAGGGACATGTAGAAGTCGCCACATGGCCGAGCTTCGTAAGTTTCAAGCTGTGCTTTAGCCAAGGCGCTGTCCTTGTAATCCGGTCCTACAACACGGCCATCACTCACCCTGCCAACCCTTTGTCTAATACCTTATACATGTCTGGCGCCCTCCTGTCCAAGGCACATCCATAGCCTTCAACCACCGAAGCTTGCACTGAGCCCACTGAGCCCTATCCCTGGCTACGACCCCCCACGACCCTCTAGCCGCATCATCCATGTCCTTTTCGAGATTGGAGAGTTTGGGGTAGTGCCGAGGGTGTTGAATGCGAATGGAAGCAGGTTTGCATTGTTCTCGGGTCCACCATTCTCTTGTTCTGTAGTAGGAGTCAATCACGGCGGCAGCCCCTGGTACAACCCTGTCCCCAGCACGAGCTCGGTGGCCTGCGAAAGTCCACCAGCGATCCAACCATGCTGTAGACCATCGCCTGCCCAATGTGTTCCACACGACTTGCCTTGCACCCCGCCATGCCCTCTGTTTGAACCCTAGCCACGTCTCCTGGTCTTTTTTGCCCACTCGCATACACCATACTACCAGCTGCAGTTGTAGACTGTTAAGGACCTGCATTCCCCCTGCATCAGGTGTCAATGCCGCCAAACACCAAAGAACCAAATTTCCCACTACCCTGTCGAGCAACTGCACACGGCCTTTCAATGGTGTTCTCGCCCTCAGCAGGTGCTTTATGGACCAGAATTTGTCCTTGGCCCGCTGAACAAAGGGTGCAAGCAGCTCTGCCGAGTTGGCCCCCACTCTGAAGGGAACCCCCATGATAGTGAATGCAGGCAGCGAGGGAACCGGCTTGCCCTGGACTGTCACCGGCTTGGACTTGTCGGCATAGGGGGAAAAGTACACTTTGCATTTAGAGGGATTCAAGGTGAGCCCTGCACGTAACAGTACCTCCGACCATTCCTCTAGTTTCCGCCCCAAGGCCTGGGAAGTAGGAGCCCACACACATCCATCATCCATGAACAAGGACTCCTCGAGCGCCAGTCCTGGAAACACCTGCTCGCGACCCTCGACTACAGCCGCATGTGCTGCGTGCTGCGGGCGTCTGTAAGCGGCTGCAGGCATGCGTGGACGTGTTGGAAAAAAGGGAAGAAGCGGGGCTGGGTACGTTCAGCCCAAGAGAACTCCACCTTAGTATCCTCCAAGATCTGTTCGGCTAGGTAGCTGAAAAGAGCGGGGCTCTCTATGCTGCCCTGCTTGATGCCTCTATCCAGCTGCAACCTGCTGCAATCCCACCCCGTCTGGAGGACTGCATCAGTCTCTGCAAGAAGTGCATGCCATGATCTGAAAGTAGGCCCATCCCCCATTGCTCGTTGCAGCCTGGCAAGAAGTGCAGGTCGATCTACCATATCATATGCTTTGTGGAGATCAATCTTCGCCATCACCACCCCTCGCTTCCACTCAGCCTCCAGTTCCATTACCCTGGCAATCGTGAACACATACTCCGCTGTTTGCCTGCCCTCCCGTGAACACTGGGACGGTCCTGAGTGCTGAAGATAACACGCTGTTCGCCCAAGGAGCAGTCGGCAGTAGCATTTGGCGATACTGGAGCTCATCGCCAGGGGTCTGAGGCTTTTGGGTTCCACTGGAAACAACTCCTTAGGTATGACCACCATAAGGGCTGTGTTCCAATCAGCGGGGATGGCTGCTTCCTGGTAAACTTTGTTGAAGAACCGAAGTAGAGCTTCCTTGCCTCCTGGTACAGCTGCTAAGCCCACGAGGAACTCCTGGCTAGTGCCATCAACCCCTACAGCTTTCCCGCGCTTCCCTTTAGAGATTGCCTGTTCGAGCTCCTCCAGGGTGAACAAGTCAACAGGCCCATCCCAAGCCCCTAGGGGTGGAATCACCTGGCCAGTACCATAGATCCCTGCAAGATGATCGTGTATCACCTGATGTGGTTCCTTCCCTTCATGTGCCTCGGCGAAGACCACGTCCCACCCCTCGTTTTTGGGCTTCTTGAGCTGTCGATAGGCATTCCAATCCCCCGAAGTAGCACGGTCCAACCTGTCTTGTTCCCATTCGAGTCGCGCTTGCTTCCGAAGCTTCCTGGCCCTTGTCCAGGCCGCCCCCTCCCCAGTAGCTTTGGCATAGGAAAAGGCATCCTTGACGTCTTGCGGATCCCGATACGACACACCCGGCCTGGTTTTAGTGTGTACCTGTGCCAGCTTTCGCAATTCCGCCTGATCCAAATCCCCATCAACCGAAGCCAACCTATCCAGATTCGCGGGGCAGTGCAGTAAGGTCTGCCCGCCCTACCTGCCTTGATGTGGACCACAGCGGAGAGCAGCTCGTGATCCGTACCCAGCGCCTTGTGAGACCCAACATGTATGCACAATCTGTCAACCCGAACTCTAGCCCCAAGTACGACGTCGATCTGGCTGCCAGTCCGGCCCTCCTGTCGGGGGCAACTAGTGGGAGTCTCAAAGTCCTGTTCGTCAGGCGCCACAGGGTCAAGCCCTCTGCCCTTGCACTGAGCTAGGAAGTCAAACATCTTGCCATTCTTTGCAGTAGGAATCCCCTCCCCCTCATCGCCAACACACCACGAGATCCGTGCATTAACATCACACCCAAGCAGAACCGGCAAATGAGTCGGTGGCAAGCCTTTCAAGTGTGCCGAGACCTGTGCTCCATGCACTGCCTGCGATGTGCCCGGAGTGAAATGTGCTGCTCCTACCCAGAGCTCGCTCCCACTGACATGTCTCACACGAAACCATGCACCTCGCTCGGTCGTTTTCCTTCGCATCACACTCCACTGAGCAGGCTTGAAGATCAGTCCAACCCCTCGCCAAGCATCCGGATCCCTAAAGAGGAGAGATTGCCAGGCATCATGAGTTTGTCGTTGCCAGCCAGGTTCCTGGCGGGCCACTTCCTGAATCACAATCAAAGCATCCCCCGGTATTCCTTCCACAAGGTCAGAGATGGTTTTAGCATAGTTGTTCTCTGCAGCACCACCAGCATTCCAGCTATACAGCGGAAAGGATACCTTCGAATTCACTGTGGGCGTCTCATGTCCATCAGAGGGTCAGTTTCTCGAGCTCTCGAGCCCATCCTTGATGGCCGCCTCGGAAAGCCCAAGCTCACGTGCCAACCCTGCCACGTGGATCCACCATTTGCCCCCTTTGTTTTCATCCCACACGAGGCTCCCCGGCGCAACCCCCGGTGGGGGCGGCTGCCGAGCACTGGCAACGAAGCTCTGTCCTGCCCAAACCCCTCCCGAGGCATACTCAATGTCAAGCTTATGTGCGGCCTGTGGAGCCAAACCATGGATCGTCCTCTTGACCAAGGCAGCATGCCCTGCGATGTCCCTCTCAGCCCTGCTTTTGGCAAAGGTGGCAAAGAGCTTCTTTTCCCCCGGCAGGAGGATTTCGTTGTCAGCGAGGGAGCGTATGATGCCATGCATTCGCTGACGAACATCGTAGTGGGATTCACCAGGACGGGCCTTAAAGACGCTGAGGGCTGTGGTTCGCCGGGGGCCCGTGGTGAAAGGCTCCGAATCCACCATTTCCCACACCTGAAGGCCCTCCAACCCTCGCCGGAGCTGCTGGAGTATGTCGGCTCGCCGGCTGTCTCGCGGCCACCCACCGTACACAAGGGTGAGCTTTCGCTCGCCCTCGCTTCCCGAAGCTCCGGACCCCGCTTCAAGTCGCTTGCTGAGCTCCTCAATCTTGTTCTCGAGCGACTCTACCTTTGTCTCCACAGCCCCAATGCGCCCCTCCGCGGAGCCCAAACGGGCCCCTGTGAGTTCCTCCAAGGCTCCCATCCTTGGGCCTTCATGATTTTATTCCCCGTCTCTTCCAGCAAGGCTGCTAACTGCTGCATATCCACCAGGACCTGCCCCGACGCAGGGACCCCCTTGCCCTCTTCCATCGCCACTCGCTTGGATGGTTTCCCAGGATGATCCCCTCCGCGCTTAGCGGGCGACAAGGAGCCACTTTCAGGAACTGGAGTCAGAGCCGCAACGTCCAACTTTAACGGTGCACCTTTGCCAGCAGAGCCGGCCATGCTGAGGCTTCGGCGACGTAGCCCTGGATCGGGTAGAAGAAGGAAGCCAGGAGGTACACCTTCCGCCGACCTTATCCCCCTAGCCCGGAATCGTCAGGAGTATCCTGTAGTACCGCCGATATGCCCAGGAAGCACTAGCACACCTGGACGCAGCCCCCGATGCAACCACAGGGCAAGCCAAACACACACCCAGGGGCCTTGAGCCAAAATGGCTTTTGAGGGGTTAGGGTTTTAGGGTTTAGGGTTTAGGGTTTTAGGGTTTAGGGGTTTAGGGTCCTAGGCTTAAGGTTCGGGGTTTAGCTGTCGGGGCAGTGTAGGTTTGTGTGAAGGCTTCAATGGTTTTGGTGCCGTTGAGGGTTGCTTCGAGGGTCCTATGAGGCACCGTAAAGCCCATAGCCCCCTCAAGGGACAACAGGTTTATTTGGGGCTTGGGGTGTGTTAAGGCTTTAAGATTTTAAATTCTTAGCCTTTGCCGGCAGGCCCTGAAAAGACAAGGGCTTGGGGTTTACGGTTTAGGGTTTAGGGTTTAGGGTTTAGGGCTTAGGGTTTAGGGTTTAGGGTTTAAGGTTTCAGGCTGCTGGGCGGTTGGGCTTAGGGTTTTGATGAACTCCTTTTTCCCGCAGAGGGGGAGTGAAGCCTGAAAGGGACCACCCACAAACCCAAAACGGAAAAAGTTGCACAACTAAGCGACCTAATAAACGCCCTACAAAGTCCCATTAAAAAAAAAAAAGAGAGAAAGCCCCTTCAGTCCTGAACCAAGAAAGGAAAAAGTGGAAGTACTGAGGAAAGAAAAAGCAGCTCTGGGCTGGTAGGGCCCTGCCGATCCTTCCAAGACCAGGGTGTAAGGCCTGTCAGAGAGACCTGTGCTCTTCTAGAAGGCTCGGGGCCTAAATCTTAAGGTCCAGAGGGGGCTTAGGGTTTAGGGGTTTGGGGTTTAGTAAACCCTAAACCCTAAACCATTTAGGGTTTAGGGTTTGGTGTCCTGGGGGCTTAGGGCCTAGGGTTTAAGGGGGCTCAGGGCTCGAAATGTTTACAAAGTCTGAGCTGATTTATTCCCTGTAGGTGTATGAGGAGCTTCGAGACGTCTCGCGGGGTTGTAGGAGGTGTTTTCAAGACGTCGTGAGACTGGTACGCAGACTTTCTTATCAGCACACCCCCTCAAAACAAAAGCTTACTCAAAAAAGGTCCCAGTTGGCGGTATGTGTCCAGTCGTGCACATAGAGCAAGTGCATCTGGCCAAGTGCCCGTTGGAAAGCCTTCTCCTGCTGTTTCTGCCGCCGGAACCTAAGCTGGGAAACCCGAAAACCCTAAACCCTAAACCCAAACAAACCCTAAACCCTAGACCCTAACTGAACCCTAAACCCCAAACCCTAAACCCTAAACCCGAAACCCCAAAAATCCTAAACCCTAAACCCCAACACTAGACCCTAAACACTTAGAAACCCTAAGCCCTATTAAAACCCTGAGACCTAGAACCGGCTTACAACCCAACAAAACCCTGACAAGCAGCAGACCCTGGACCTGAAAAAGCCTAAACCCAACACAGCCCTTACAAACCCTGACACCTGAGCTCTAAACCCTAAACCCCATGAACCCTAAACCCGAAACCCTAAACCCTCCTAAACCCTAAACCCTTCTAAACCCTAAACCCTAAACCCTCCTAAACCCTAAGCTCTAAACCCTAAACTCCAAACCTGAGTTTTTTTCTGCAGCGAAAGAGCTGGTAGAGGCTCAGGAAGTCGATGAAGACTCCGGCAATCATGGTCGGGTCCCTCCTGTCTGCGGCTGTCAGGGGACCTTATAATTTGGGGGTGAGGGTTTAGGGTTTGGGGTTCAGGGTTTCGGGTTTAGGGTTTGGGGTTTAGGATTTAGGGTTTAGGGTTTGGTGTTCAGCGTTTCGGGTTTGGGGTTTAGGGTTTGGGTGTTAGGGTAGAAGCCCAACAGTTGGAAACCCAGTAGCCTCAACCCTGAAGACGCATGTAAAGGGCATCCCAGCACGAACTGTCCTTTATCGGGTTTCCAACTTTTTGGGGTAAACCCTAAACCCTAAACCCTCTTTAGTGCAATTAATGCTAGCTCTCTCGACTTTCAGGGTTTCCTTTGTGATAGGGTCCCAGTCCAACAGCGCCATGTGGGTTCAATTGTCCCGAGTTTGCAGTAGAAGCTACATTGTAGTATTATAGAGGCCTGAGTCGTTAGAATAGGGTCTTGGGTATTGCTACGAATACTTCTCTAGAGTTGCACTGGGGGCTGGAATGGGAAATTCTTGAAATTTCTTTTCCACGCCTGTATCTCAACATCGCACTCCCCGCCTACACAGTTGGGAACGGGAAGATATTCTTCCAAGATGCCGGCGTCCAGTTCTCCCTGAAGCCTAAACCCTAAACCCCAAAGCCTAAACCCTGAAGCCTACAGTCTAAACCCGAAACCCCAAAGCCTAAACCGAATCTAGAGAACTACACCATGTGGACTGGGCCTCCGGCCGCCTCGGAAAGGAAAAGATCAGAAGCGGTTTAGGCAGAGAGAGGATTTGAAGGATTTGAGGGATTTGAGGGATTTTANNAACCCCAAACCCTGAACCCTACACCTAGAGTCTATGATTTACAGCCTCTGGAGGCTCCTTCAGAAGAACCCGGGGGGGTCTCAAGGCTCGCAGAAACTCGGGGTCCTCAAGCTTAAACCCTTGAACGAAAGGAAACCTACCGGTGGGGAGTTTA